TTTACATTAGGTATATGCACTCCTTGGAGGGATCAATCATGGGAGAACAGAAGGGCTGTGTGTGCACAGGGAGACAGCTCAGGGGGCAGGAGTGCATGGAGGGAAAGACACAGGGAAGAGGTGGCTTTGGGGAGGAAGTGGGAGGGGAGCTGTTGCGTTGTGGGAAATTGCAGTGAATGTCATGAGACAAAGTGTATGCAAACTGCTGTATGGAAAGTGAATTTGCTGTGTAAACCCAAATAACAATAAAAAAAAATTAAAAAAATTGCTAGATGGGATTGAGAAGAAAGACATAAAAGAGGAAAAAGAACTCCCATATCTGTCCCATAGCCGGGGATATCGTCACTGGACTGAGATTCCTATCTGCTTTCTGTCTGTGTGATAGGGAGTGGCCCAGGGACAGAGACCGTCAGCACCACGCTACAGTGTATTTCACTCATTTATAACTCGGCTTCCCCACAAAAGCTAACATGATGAAGCAGTTCTGGAAACGACTCATGGAAAATAAGGCTGAGACAGAGGCTTAAGAAATATCACCGAGTCCAGCTTTTAACGATTAAAGACATTTTTAAAGGCAAAATGGAAACACGAGAGGCCCCTCTGTGGCCAAATGTGAGAAGAACAGGAATGTGTTGCTGAATTCCTGCCAACCAGATCAGATCCACCAGAACCCTTTAACCTGGGGCGGGGTGCTGGCCAAGCCTCTTCATACGATTTCTCTGAAGCATCCAGTGAACTGCTAAAGCTTTGCAGAAGCTCAGCGTGGCCCTCTGGGGACTAGGCAACTACCTGACAGTTTTCAGAAACTGGGGCAGGAGGGAACTAGGCCCAGGAGCTTAGGCCTGGGACCTGCACTGCTCCCAGGGCAGGCAGAGGGAGCCTTCCTACTCATTTATGCTGCACACAGGCCCGTCCCGGCCTCCAGATCTGCCCACACCTTCCCTGCCTTTCTGCGCACACACTACTTCCCAGATTTCCAGAGTGTGCTCAAGCAGCACCCTCTGGTAACACATGCGTGGCCCACACAGGGCACCTGCTGTAACCACGCTTCCCTCCAGGATGGAGGCAGGGACCGCTCTGTCTCCCCTCTGTACCCTGACGTCTTGTGCAGCACCTACACTCAGGTGTTCTTGGGGAACTTGTGGGGATTCAAGCAACAAGCTCTCAGGAAGGGGTCAGGAGAAAGTGACATTGTCGAGCAAGTTCAAGGTTCAAGCAAGTTCTACTTCCCATGAGGTGCCACCACCTGTGTAGGCTCCTGTACCTCCCCATCGACAGCTGTCAAGCTCTTCAGGACATACACCTTCATGTCCCTATGAGGCCAGAGGACACATCTCTCTCCTCGGAAGCTCTGCAATAGTTGTAACCTTACACTTCTATGGGATACCTTGACCAATGTCTGTCCTCCCCACTAGACTGTGAGTTCCACGTGGCTGTGTTTTGCTCAGCACTGTGTTCTCAGTGGTTGGCCTGAGGCCTAGCATAGAAAACGTGCTCCATGAGCATTGGCTAAGTGGACAATAAGACCTGAGAGATGCCCTGAGCGCTCACTCAGTACCAGGCTGGTCTGTCACTCTCTTAAACATGATGCAAAGCAGAGGATATAAGTTTTAGAATGAAAGGTCTTGTTCTAATCCCAGCTCTTGGCAAACGTGACGAATTGTTTCACTTTGCCAGGCCTCAGTGTCGTCATCTATAAGGTGGGGCCACTGATCTCTAGCTTGCAGAGCTGTTATGAGAATAAAAGGAACTGATGTATGGAAAGTACCTAATACAATGCCTGGCATATGGAAATGTGCAACAAACAGTAACTGTTATTATTACAACCATTACTTGGGTTTTTGACAATGAGTGATTCTGCATTTACGTGTAAGACAGTGACATCTAGAGGCAGAGTATGACATTGTACCTCAGCTCTATTAGGAATAATCATCATACAGACAGGACCCACATAAGAAGATCCTGGCACGTGACCAATGTTTGTGACTGAGTGCAGTTAGGTTGGGTAGTCATGAATCACATTTCATTCATCACTTGCAGACACACTCATTGAGTGTCCACTCTGAGTCAGGTTCAGCTCTCGGCACTGGGGATACAGGGAACAAAACAGAAACGTCTTTCTCTCCAGGAGTACACATTTCAGGGGGAGAGACTACCAGTGAATAATTAAACAAATACACCCATGCATATATGCAACACAATGTCAAATAGAGATGATTTAAAATAATCCTAAGTAATGAAAACTAAGGGAAGGAAAGAAAAATAGCACTGACCTCACCATACAAAGTCTGAACACCAGAGACCCCTTGTACTAGGCAAGGCCACCTCCCTATTCTTATCTCAGCCTCTCTGACCTTCTTCCCCCTTTGTCCAAACTTCTGTCTGGTTACATCAGTGTACAGAGACGCCATCACACGCAGTCCTCTCTCTGAGGCTAGGAGGCTACTGGTGGTGCATTCTGAGTGACAGTAATGATTAAACACCAGGCTCTGGTACAAGATCTGAGTAGCATAGTGGCTAAGACACTTGCCTGCTAACCAGACGGCTGGCGGTTCAAACCCACCAGCCACTCCTCGGAAGGAAGGTTGGGCAATCCTACTTCCGTAGTGATACTGCCTCGGAAACCCAAGGAGGGGTCGCTATGAGTCGGGTTTGACTCGACGGCACATAACAACAACAACAACTAGTTGTGTGATCTTTGGTAAGTTACCTAAGCCCCGTGGGCTAGTTTGTTCATCTATCAATAGGGCAATAACCACACAAACTGTATCAGATACCCAGAGCCTGGCTGGAAGTAATTGTTCAACAGATGCTAGCTATTGCAATGATCAAATATCATTTCCCACAGCTGCTCAGAGCAAAGAGTGGCAACTACAGATTTGGCCCAATGCCTGTTTTTGTAAATAAAGTTTTATTGGAACACAGCCATGGTCACCATTCATTTACCCATTTGTATATGGCTACTTTCACGCTACAACCCCAGAGGTGAGTAGTCGTTGACAGAGACTGTATGACCCTCAAAGCCTAAAATATTTACTCCCTGGTCCTTTACAGAAGTTTCCTTGTTCAGAGAAAAGGCAATTCCATCACTTCTTCAAAAAACTAGATTTTCAGACTTGAATTG